TTCCAGGAATCCCTTCAATGAGTCTATCGGAACCTTTTTCAATCAACCGGAGGGCTCTAACTACAACTGGAATTATTGATGTTCTCATGTGCCACATTTTTGAGGTTACCATTTCAAAATTCTTGTATTTTTATAGTTATTTGAACGTCTTCAAAGATGCATTAAAATCTGCAGGGATTGCTATGTCAATAAGAAAGCACATTCTGTTTTTGTGGTCTTAAATCAAAATGTCTAGGCGATTACCTTTGTTTATTCTGTCTGTGTATATTATTATTATTATTATTATTATTATTCCAAAAAATATACAAGTATATATCTTGTAACTACCTCTGGTCTGGTGTTTCTGCTATGTATTTAGAGATAAAATACAAAGAAGAATTTGCAATATTATCGCTTCTAACATGGCATCTCGGCTTCAGTTACTTTCCCATCGCCGAAACGTAGCTTCTCTGAAACTATTCCATAAATATTTTCATGCTAATTGTTCTGATGAGTTTTCCCCTTTCGTTATCAATACTTTATGAATTTAAACGTAGCAGTAAGCGACAAGGTCTCTTCATTTTACAGTTGAAATAGCTAGATGTAAGTTCTATGCTAAGAGCTTCTTCCCTCGCACTTCTCGCTTGTGGTACTTTCTTCCGACTTTTTGCTTTCCAGTCAACTTCGATATTCAAAAATTTAAATCGTTATATTCTATCTTCTTAATTTCTGTTTTTGTTCTCTCTCGTTAATAATGTTTTCTTTTTTTCATATTCTCTCCTGCTCAGTAATTCTTTGCATCTTAGTGGTTCTATTGCCTTGATTGGGATGAAATGATTAAAAAAAATAGTTTTAGAAAAATGCTATTAATGTAACTTTTTCTTGGACAACTTTGTAAATTGATTTTTAAAGTTTCCGATAGATTTCGAGAAGTTTTTAAATTTTCAGGTTTTAAATATTTTATTCAAGTTTCTCATAATCCTTAAATGCTGATAATACCATTTCTTTTAATCCAGATCTCAGGTGGACCTCTTACATATGATCCATCGCAAAAGATGCTGGAGAAATAGCCGGTTCATTGTACCGATCTAGTAAGCATCTGTCTTTTAAGATGAGCACGCTACCAGTTATTTTAGTTACGTTTTACTTATATTCCATTGCCTTGTCTCGTTGATTACCTGTGCAACCATTTTTTCAAGACAAGCGACTTTTTTTACGATGTTTGTACATAGATTGTTTTTTGGGGTTTTTTTTTTTTTTTTTGTTGTTGTTGTTTTTTTTTAATTCACCCCACTCAAGACAGTAAACCCAATAAGACAAAATGGATTACTGGATGTGGAAGAATTAGAAAACAGAAATATTTCTAACGAGTGAGAACATTAGAAGATGTTCAATAGGGAGCAGTTTGGGATGAGAGGCGTTAAAATTAACAAGCCATTCTTTGTCCCAGTTAACAACAGACTGTAAGTTGTTTTTGACATCAGCCGCAAATTTGAGCTTATCGAACTGATAAGACTTACTATCGGGACATAAGTAAATGGTTGTGTCATCGGCACAGATACCAAATTGAGAGCTGATGCCATCGGGAGGGTTGTTAATAAATATTAAGGAGCAAGGATAGAGTCCTGGAGGATACCTGCATTTTTGTTCTCACACTTGCACGCATCCTTGTTTCATGTATAACTTAAAGAAAATAAGCATACTGTCGAAATATTTGTAAACATTTTTTAACACATTTTTAAATGCATTTTCAAATGCATTTTCAAATGCATTTTCAAATGCATTTTCTTTTCTTTATCTTTTCTGAGAATTGCACTCTTCTAAAAGTGTTTTAACAACAACAACAACAATAATAATAATAATATTAATTGTAGCCAGCTGTTGAGCTGTTGATAAGTGAGATTATCCTTATTCCATGCTACTGACTTTCTTCCACTTTTAATATTCTTAAATAGCCTCGTCAGATCGATACTTTTATATCGATGTCATGCATAGCTCCCAACTCAATTGTCAGCTGTATACAACCGCTTTCTCAGATTAATGGTTAAAAATGGCTTCGAGCGAATAAATCCTGTAAGTCTTAACTAGGATTATTCGTCTTCGAATACCGGGGACTGTATCTACAGAATCACAAGCAAATAACTGTACCAAATAACAGAAATCACATCACTTGAGGACTTTCAACAGCAGCAACAACTAAAATGGATAGCACATATAACTCAAAGAGACAATAATGACAAAATCAAGATGTTTACGTTCCACTTTACTTTAATGTTCGGAAGGAAAGGCCCATCAATAGTGGAAAGAGCAATAACAATTACTCCACTTAAGAAAATATTTTATAAATTTCTACCGAAAGTAGTACTGGCTGCTCGGCCAATGAATGCTGAATGTTTCCATATGAGGAAACGACTAATATTACCATTACTATCCCTATAGGCATGTCTCTCTGTGTGTAGGGGTATATGTGTGAGTGAGTGAAGTGGGTTGATGATTGACTAGAAGGAAAACGAAATTTGTCAGTGACGCGTTTTCTCCCGAAAAGGAACGTCTTCAGACAAATATCGTTTTTAATGTACGAGGGTAACTAAAATGGATAGCACATGTTACTCGAAGAGAAAATAATGACATAATCAAAATGTTAGCTTTGCCGGCTACTTCAAACAAAAGGTCAGGAAGGAAACATAATAAATGTTACTGGACTTGAGGCAACTATTTTCCTGATAAACTATTCTGAGAGAAATATTGTCATAAATTTCAATCGAAAGTAGCACTGGTTTAAGTTACCCCATGAAAGCCGTAGAAAACGAATCGGCCAATCAATTAATCTTGATATCTTTCTTTTGTGCCCATCCATCTCGTTCGTATACTTATAATATTCCTTTTTTGCCCCTTTACTTTTCCCTCGCTCTCATATCGCTTACTTTTCCTCTTTCATATCATATTTTTTCTTTCTCTTTCTTTCTTTATCCATTTCGTACCTATTTAATATTACGATGCAAATTTCTCAGCCAGAGACGGTAATTGATTCCAGTTTAAAAGAGCCCAAGATTAGACAGATACTACACTCTGATCGTGAGTAGAAAGCCTCTCCGAGCAGAATAATCAGTTGGGTAACTCATGTCGTTGTCATGAAACCTCACCCACTTGTCATCGAGGCAATTATCCTTTGTGGGCTAGTAAAAAAAAAAGTGTGTTCTTTCCCGTCATTCTCTTGATTCTAACAAACTTCTATATGAATACATGCGATTTTTCTTCCTTTTTTTTTTTATTAATCGAAATTACACCCAGCAAGGCAGTAAAGCCGCCATGACTTACTGGGTGTGAAAGATTTAGAAAACAGAAACATTACTAAGAAACGAGAACAACAGACGAGTAACCAATAAGACAGTATGTTGTGGTAGGATCCACCTAATTTGCATAGTGGAGTACCGACCATATAAATATGGTCGGTACCGGGAAGACGAGGGAAGGAATCAAGAGATTCAATCCAGAGACTCTGCCCGACTGCGACTAAGTCAACCCATTCTCCAGGAACGGTCTTTCCAAGAATATACAAAAGACTATATGTAATTATTGTGTACACTTTCTTGTTTCAATACATTTTGTTCTAAGTACATTTTGTGTTGTATTATTATTCCATGCATTAGTCAAGTTTCAACACAGTAGATAACAATTGACATTGCGTTTAATTTTTTTTTAAATCAAAATTGGCTGAAAAGCCTGAAGCCTGAAGAGAGTTCCACAGTTTTGAGAGTTAAGGAGTTTGTTTGGCGAGTGTTTGTTTTTTTTTTATTATAATCATTTCACCCATGCAAGGCAGTAGAGCCACTAAGACATAAGGGGCTACATGATGTAAATCAATAAGAAAAATAGAAACATTATTAAGGAAAAAGAACAATAAAAAAACAGGAACTAAGAAGATAGTAGATAACGATTGATATTCTACTTAAAGTTTTAGAGATCAAAGTTGGCTGGAAAGCCTAAAGCTTGAAGAGAGTTCCACAGTTTTGTGAGTTAAGGAGTTTAGCGAGTGTTTTTTTATAATCATTTCCCTCCATATAAAAGGCATTAGAATCATCAAGAAACAAGGGGTTACTGAATGTGAAAGAAGAAAAGAGAAACATTTAGGAGTGCGAACAATAGAAAAGTAATCAAGAAGACTAGATAACGATTGGCATTGCATTTAGATTTCTAAAGATCAAAGCTGGCTGGAAAGCAATAAGCTGTAAGATAGTTCAACAGGCGAGAAAATAAACTGTTAGCAGAGAACTTGCCGTTACATCTAGCTATTTCAACTGTAAATTCATGAGACCTTATTGCTAATCCAGTACCGCACTTATAATCTAGTACAGCATCTTATTGAAATCCAGGTACGACAGTGAAGAGCTCATCCGATCAATTACTATGAAAGTATTTATACAAAAAGCACAGAGAACCAACTTTACGGCATTGGGAAAGTGATTGAAACCGAAGTGCCAGGTCAGGACCAATAATATTGCTGATTCTTCTTTGGATATTTTTTCTTAAATATATAGCAAGAGCACTAGAAATTATGTGGCAGCAATATTTTAAGCATGGAGGAATGGTAGACTTATATATATGTAAGATAGATTCTGAAGAGAAAAATTGTCTAGTCGGACACAGTGAAACCAACTTTCTTCACAGCTGACCTGGGAATGAATTCAATATAATTTCCCTTCATCATGTCAGCCGAGGATGTTAGTCCGAGAAGAGATAATCAGTCACTCCCTTGGAGGTTATCATCAACCATGTTATTGGAGAGCAGAAAGTTTCATTGATAATCAACTTTGTCGTCAGCTCTGTGTTGAATGTTCCAAGGTTGATTTTTATTATTGATGTCCAATGGAGAAACCACTAAATTTATTTACCCAGAACCCCTGTCAACCGGTCAATTTTCATCATACACCCGCCGGACAATGCCATGTATCCCTGCTGGCAATATTGCATAAACAATGATACAATCGTAAGTAAAGAAGTCAAATGATCAGACATTGCAATTAAAATAAACCAATTACACTGACTATTTGATCCCGAGAGATATGATCCCAAGAGATATGATCCCGAGAGATGTAATCTCGTGAGATATGATCCCGAGAGATGTAATCTAGAGAGATATGATCTTGAGAGATGTGATCCCAAGAGATGTAATCTTGAGAGATATGATCCCGAGAGGTGTGGTCCCGAGAGATATCATCCCGAGAGATGTAATCTAGAGAGATATGATCTCGAGAGATGTGATCCCGAGAGATGTGATCCCGAGAGATGTAATCTCGAGAGATATGATCCTGAGAGATGTGATCATGAGAGATGTGATCTCGAGAGATGTGATCCCGAGAGGTGTGGTCTCGAGAGATGTAATCTCGAGAAATATGATCCCAAGAGGTGTGGTCCCGAGAGATGTAATCTCGAGAGATATGATCCCGAGAGATGTAATCTCGAGAGATATGATCCCGAGAGATGTGATCTCGAGAGATGTGATCCCGAGAGGTGAGGTCCCGAGAGATGTAATCTCGAGAAATATGATCCCAAGAGGTGTGGTCTCGAGAGATGTAATCTCGAGAGATGTAATCTCGAGAGATATGATCCCGAGAGATTTCATAAAATAAAATATAACTGTGCACTGGTATTTTTTTTTTATTTTATTTTGCTATTCAACGAATACAGGACAAGAACAATGCTAATGGCTGCTGGAACGCTCGACACAGTCAAAACTACATACAACATATCTATAAAGAATTAGGTTCTTAGGAACTGCGCACATTCAGAGAAGAATTCTCGTGTAAAATAATACTCCGGCTTCTTGTTAACATTTACCGCAGTCCTTTTGTTAAAGAAAGAAATGCCATGCCAAACTGTGAAATGTATTCTTTCGATCACGTAAACAAATGGTCTCAGGACAAACCATAACCTGTTCTAGAAAAGGAAAAGAAAAAAAAGACACACTCGGACTTTGGTATACAGGCCGACCATCGTATTCATGTTGGAAAGAGAAAAAAAAGAAAAAGAAAATCGCTAGCCAGATTGAAGATGTGTTCGTGACAACGCACCACAGACTGGAAACGATAGAAAGCGAAATGGTGAGAAAATGCCAGAAACTCGCCAAGGGACTTTGAAAACTATGAAATATGAAAGCAAATATCATACCCATAATAACTGAGTACTTTAGTTTATTGATTCTGATATTGAAGATGGAAAGAATAAGACACCCCTCTTTTCAGAAATATATATATATATATATATATATATATATATATATATATATATATAAATTACCAATAAAAGGTATACATGTAAGAAATAAGTGCATAAAATGCACAATTCCCACAATTACAGAGCAACAGCTACTTCAAATTAGACAATATATATATATATATATATATATATATATATATATATATATATATATTTAAATTAAAATGCGCACACACACACACACACACACACAGAGGCACAAACACAAATATATATATATATATATATATATATATATATATATATATATATATATTCTTGCTCTGTCCTGGACATTGAGCTCTACCTGGATTCTATCCTCTTTGAAATTTATATATATATATATATTATAAATTAATGGATTTGAAATATGTTTTTTTTTCGCTACACAGTTCTAACCATGTTTCCAAAAATGGAAGCTAAAAGCCACGAATTTAATTTTGTGATTAAATTAAAGACATTAGTTCCATTTCATCCTCAAGCGAATGGAACTAATGTCTTTAATTTAATCACAAAATTAAATTCGTGGTTTTAGCTTCCATTTTTGAAACATGTTAGAACTGTGTAGTCGAAAAAAAACTTATTTTAAATCCATTAATTTATAATATTAATGCTCTGTAAATTTACCTTGAGCACTATTTGGTAAAAATAAAAATATCTATAAGAACACCGGATTATATATCTTGCTGTTCTTTCTTTTATATATATATATATATATATATATATATATATATATATATATATTGAAAAATAAAAAATATTAAAAAATTAAAATCTTCAGACACACTGGGTTGTAGATTAATATGCTTTCGTTTTTTTATTATTTCATTTAGATTCTTTAACTAGTTTCGGCCAAAATGGCCATCATCAGGAGAAGAAATATTTCTGCTTGCTTGTAGCAGTAAACTACAGAAATGAATGTCTTGATGGAGAAAATGAACTTTTGTCTGTAATTTTCATTTGTTTTTTTTTTATTTTTTTTATCTTTTTAACATGAATCTTTTAACTTTCCTTGGTAAAAAAATTAAGTCGTTTATAACATGTAGTTTAAAATCATTTGCATCATCTGCGTTATTTTCTTTTGACATGCGACATTCAGATAAGCGAAAAAACAACTGGACAACTTTTGTGTGTGTTCGTGTGCACACACGTGTGTATGTGTGTGTTGCTTCTTATTTTATATACTATCTCTTCAGGACGTGAACGACCACGGCCCTTCACATCTTCCTATCTTTTCTAGCTCTAAACAAGCTTTGTTCCATTGCTATCCATCTCAGGTTCAGTTCTACCATCTGTTCACATAACTTCTTTAGGCAGATTACTCGTAGTTTTTTTTTTCTGTCCCTCTTGCCTTAAATGTCCTATAAGTATCAAATTCTCCGAGCCCCTTTTCTTCATATGTCCTCTTTCTGATTCGAAGTGTTCTTTTTGTATCAGTCTTCCTTGAAACTACTTCCCTGCTCACAAAATTCTATCCATGGTATCCTCAGCAGCTCTGCTTCATCCAGTATTTGAAGAAACATTCACTGTCTCATAAGAGGACTCACATTACATAGTCTTTGCGCACTGAAAAAGTAGCTACTCGCATTTTAATCAGTTATTAACGTGTATGTTGCTATTTAATGAAAATACTCATTTTTAAAAAAGAAACAGTATCAGGTGATAAAAAGTGGATACCTT